TCGGCAGTCAGATCTTTTTTTATTTTCGAAGTTTATATTCAGGCATTCAGACGTGGAGTTACATCTTTCAGAATTAAATTATAATCCGCCGCCTAAAAAGAAATAGAGTCGTGTGTATCATAACCATTACCGAGTTGGGAATCAGGGAGCGACCGAGCCAGTGGCGAACTCACACAGACCAGCGGTAATATCCTTTGATTGCTCTCTCCTTCTCACTCTCTCTCTCTCTCTCTCTCTCTCTCTCTCTCTCTCTCTCTCTCTCTCCTCTCTCTCTCTCTCTCTCTCTCTCTCTCTCTCTCTCTCTCTTTCTGTCTCACCACATCGGAACCAGCAGTAAGTACTACTTTCTTTATTGTTTACCTTCTCTGTCACCATTCTATCATTGAAATCCAATTTTAATGGGCCATCATTATCATTTGGCATATATCCATCGAGTCCTTCAACTATTCGATTCGATTGTCGAGATAAGAGACCCTGACGAATTGGAATGCACGGCTCATTATCTTAGAGTAATAATCAACATTGCATTAGGGGCTAATTACTATCCAGACTCCTCTTTATATCTCCCTACCCTCCTCCTCAACAATTATCTTCAGCAACACCTTCCTCTTCTCCTACACGTGCTTCCATTCCTTCTACCCCTTCAATATCGTATTCTCCCGTCTCTTTTTCCGAGTTATCCACTCCTTTAAATTCACCTGACCGCTCTCGTTTCCCCTCACCCGACTGATCCTCTACGTTCGTTTTCCCTTCTTTCCCCATTTCTCCCAGAACACACACACGTACACACACATGTATACCGCGTAATTGTAATTAGTTATCATTGAAATAATCCGTTTTGTTAGCCTAATAAATTTGTTTGTTGAATTATTTTCTTACCTAATTGATTTTCTAAATCACCCGCCTACTCTACTTTCCTCAACTGTCGCTCATGGTCCTATCCCCGGTAAAGGGATTCGCGTCCCTGACCGAAAAACGGACCGCTCGTCGTACGTCAGAGAGCGAGTAAAGGAACCCGTCAGGTTCCTGACCCGTTCCATGACACGCGTGTACGAACGAGGTTCGCTTCTCCCGCGAACGGAGAAGCTGCGCTCTTCGTCTAGGACGTAACAGCATCTTGCGTCAAAATGATTTGCGGCCCTACCGTTATCGACGCGTGCAACAATTACTTCCATGTGATGAAGCACTGCGAGCGCACTTTTGTGCAGGTATGTTTATTATTTTTACAAAGGACTAAATTAAAAAATGTTAATATATCTACGTGAAACACGTGCAGGTCTCCTCGCACAGTGTCGGCGAAATCAATCATTTCCCGACCATTTTCTGTGGACGAATGAGGCGACTTTCACATCGAACGGCGTGTTTAATTCTCGCAACACATTGCTGTGGCAATCCGAGAATCCTCACACCGTTCGCTAATGCGCTTTTCAATACCGGTGGTCGGTGAACATGTGGGCAGGAGTAATTGCGGATAGAATGGTACGTATTCTTGTAATTTGCAACATGCAGAACATGTTTTATTACGCGTATAATTATTTAAATGTGGTAATTATTTTCAGATCGGGCCATTTTTTTACCGCCACGTCTTGATGGGCAGAGGTATGCGGAATTCCTTGAGAACGAGCTACCTCTTCTCCTCGAGGACGTTCTTCTTCGCGCACGCGAAACTATGATATTGAGCACGATGGGGCTCCCGCGCATTGTAGTGCGAGAAATATTAAATGTGCGTTTCCGGACAGGTGGATGGGTCGTGGTGGCCCAATCACTTGGCCGGCACGGTCGCCGGATTTGAACGTTCTCGATTATTTTGTATGGGGATACGTCAAATCCTTAGTCGAGCAACGGTGCGATGGTACAGAGGAGGAGGTACGTGCAGCAATTATTGCGGCCTTCGCTACCATCACGCCGGATATGGCGCACCGTGCGACGCAAGAGATAACACGAAGAGCTGAACTCTGCTTACAAGTTGGAGGAAGGCACTTCGAACAGTTACTACACTAATCAATAACCGTGGATTAGGCCTATTGGGGAAACCACGCAAAGAAAAACGCACCAAGCTATCTACCTCATAGGTGGTGTGGAAATGATAGTGTTTTTACGCGAAAAAGTAATTTTAACACGTGCAATTGCGTTTAATTCGCATTTGTCGTCGTGTTTAATAAACGTTTAATTAACGACTGTAACCCAAAAATATGCGCCACACACTTTTGGCAAAGAAAAAGCACGCTTAGATTTGCAGCGTACACGCGGCACGTTCATCATCGCCTGGCCGCGCTCCGACGGCGTCAAAGCGTCAAAACGCCATCGCCGGCGCGGCGGTCAACGTGCGCCGCCTTACCGCTCAGCTCCGACGCACACAGCTCGCCGCGGAGCGTCTATAGGTCGCGATGGGCGTGACAAACGCCAAACTTTACGCGGTTATTACTAAAAAACTATGTGAGATATCGCTAAATGAAACAGGACTTTTTTGTTCCTCCCGCTTAGCTCTATGCCGCTATGGAGTTCGTGTCCTACAATTATGGGACACCCTGTATATACACATGCATACACACATACTCTCTCTCACTCTCTCTCTCTCTCTCTCTCTCTCTCTCTCTCTCTCTCCCCTCTCTCTCTCTCTCTCTCTCCGCTCTCTCTCTCTCTCTCTCTCGCTCTCCTCTCTCTCTTTGTCGTTTCCAATAAATGATGTCTAACGACATGAATATTATGTGTTAATAATTGCAGTAGGGCACTATCTATTTTGACATTTCATTTTTCAGTTTCGATTCTTGTAAGTCATAAATATTGATTTATTATGATCTCTCTCTCTCTCTCTCTCTCTCTCTCTATCACTCCTCTCTCACACTTTTCTCATAATAATATACGTGTATATGTATGTTATTACGAATATGTAAACATATATACCAAGGGGCACAAATGCTGAGAAAAGCTAAGCGATTCGCAAATATTGTCGTACACGTAGACATGGACGCGGACAATACCTAAAAATGCTTATGTATTGGGTGAGTGCAAAAGTTCGTGCGGAGTTTCAATAGATGGAGTTATAAGCGTCGTAAAGTGTTGTCATTAATACTTCCATCTACATATTATATAACGTTGGAAAGGTGACGTCTTCAGCTGTTATTAAGAAAAAAATCATTTGTTTTCATACAAACTGCTTCGAGAAATATCACTTTAAAAATGAGTATCGATAAGGTGCATTTACGGCATGTTATGCTTTACGAGTTTCGGAAGGGAATAAACGTTGCCGCAGCCGTAAAAAACATTCAGGATGTTTATCAGGATGAAGCACCAGCTAAACGAACTGTGGAAAAATGGTTTGCTAAATTTCGGCGCGGAGAATTTAACCTTGAAAACGAGCCACGCTCTGGTCGACCTTCTGACATTGATGACGATGTTTTGCGTACTTTAGTGCTCAATAATCCGCGAATTTCAACAGAAGAAGTTGCTACAGCACTAAACGTTGACCGATCAACCGCTTTTCGGCGTTTAAAAAAGATGGGATTCGATTTGAAGCTCGATATATGGGTGCCCCATTTGCTGACCGAGAAGAACAAAATCAAGCGAATTTCTGCAGCCGTTTCTTTACTCGGGCGGCTCAATAACGAGTCGTTTTTGGATCGACTAGTGACGGGCGATGAGAAATGGGTCCTCTACAACAATGTTCAGCGCAAACGGACATGGAAACAATCAGGTGAGCATGGTGACGCAATGCCAAAGGCCAGTTTACACCCGATGAAGGTGATGCTCTCTGTTTGGTGGGATTGCAAGGGCATAATCTATTTCGAGCTTCTCCCCGCTGGCGAAACGATTGATTCGGACAAGTACTGTCGCCAATTAACCAATCTGAATCGAGAAATAAAAGAGAAACGTCCGATTTTGTCAAATCGCAAGGGAGTCGTCTTTCATCACGACAACGCCAGATCACACGTTTCGAAAAAGACGCTGCGCAAACTGAAGAGCCTGAAATGGGATGTCTTAACGCATCCACCGTATTCTCCTGATATCGCACCATCTGACTATCACTGTTCCGGTCATTGCAAAATTATTTAAATGGAAAAAACTTTGACTCTTTGGAGGCCTTAAAAAACGGCGTCTCTTCGTTCTTCGAATCTAAACCGCGCAGTTTTTATGATCGAGGCATCCGTATGCTGCCAGAACGTTGGGAAAAGATTATAGAAAACGATGGAGAATATATCATTGATTGAATAAAGATTTTTGTTTGCTTAATCACTGTGTGACTTTTACTCACAAACTCCGCACGAACTTTTGCACTGACCCAATATGTATATACGTATATACAGGGTGCGTACGGTATTTGAGGACAAATTGACATTAAAACTAATTTGTTCATATTTTTTGCAAAATTCATTATAATTCCATGAAATTTTTACACGACGTTAATTGACTCCTAGACTATACAATTACTCAATAAAATCCCCATTAGCGGCAATAACGGACTCAATCCGGGGTCGGAAACGATTGCATGTCCGAATAAAATGCTGTATGTTCATTTTGATCATTGTTGTTGTTATAGCATCCTTCAGTGATGAAATATTATTATGAGGATGTTTATTGGTCTTCCGCTCAACTACGCCCCATACGTAATAAGCCAGGGGATTAAGATCTGGGGAGCTTGGTGGCCATAAGTTTGGGGTAATGTGGTCATAGAAATTTTCGGTCATCCAATCTTGTGTCGTCATGGTTTTGTGTGAAGGAGCAGAGTTTTGCTGGAATATGTATGGTCTGTCCCCACGTACACTATCAATCCAGGATTTCACAACTGTTTCTAAAACCTCGATGTAGGCGGCAGCATTCACCCGAAGCCCCTGACGAAAGAAGTGGGGTAGCATAACATGTTCTTCGTTGCTCACAACTCCTAAAACTATGACAGTTGCTGGAAACTTCATGTGCATAACACGAGGAACCTTTGTAGGATGTGAGCATAATCACCTGTCATTTTTTCGATTGATTTTTTGGTATTGGTCGAAATTTTTTCGTTAAAAAAACCACATGTTAAGAACTTCAGGGTGCTTAAGCTTGTTCAAAAGACGTTTTGACCTCGGATAAGTCTCTGTTCCCGAGTTTGTGCCGACATAAACGGTCCTCTGCGCATAACGTAGGACATATAGCAGAGGTCTTCGTGGACAACTCGACGGATTAGGCTCTCAGAGACATTCAGGTCCCTTGCAATGGCCCTCGTAGACTTTGAAGGGCTTTCATCAACGATCTCTCACACTTGTTGGACAAATTGTGTATTTCTAGTAGTGTCCGAACATTCCTCATGTTTTTTTGCGTTATGCAACAGTTTCTACATCGCTAACTGATACTTTTAATTCACGACGAACCTTATGTACGAATGATCGGGCGCAATTGAGAAAATTGGAGATTTCTAAATCGGCGTGTTTCGCGCATATAGCGACGATAACTGCATGTCTCTTGATTTCTTGCGTTATTTTATAGTCCTCCACTGATGATCTGACAAGAAAAAAAACAAACAAAATTATTTTCCAGAAATTACATTCACATATATGAGTGTCCTCAAATACCGTACGCACCCTGTATATGTACCCAGATAGCCAAATCTGTTCTGCCAAATAAAGCCAAAGATTTGCTTACAAGATTTGTTGGCAAATTTAGTACAAATTTGGAATAAACCTTGTTTTATCAAAGAATGTCCACAAATTGGTAGCATTTATGTAACAAAGTTTGCACACATAACATGATACCAAATTGACGCCAAGTAACACGCAACGCTTGCTACCAAAGTTGACAGCAAATTGGCGTCAAACATCGAATACAACTTGGGTACGCCACTTGATGCCAAATTAACGCCAAATAACGAGCAAACTTTGGCGCCAAATTCCCAGCAAGGCTTGAGGACAAAACACCACACCAAATTGTCACAAAATGCTGAGCAAATTTGGCGACAATACTCCAAAGCAAATTGGCGCCAAATACCGAACAAAGCTTAGCGATAAAACCCTACAGCAAATTGACGCCAAATACCGAGCAAAACTTGGCAACAAAACCTTGCAGCAAATTGATGTTAAATACCGAGCAAAGTTTAGTGACAAAATTCCACAACAAATTGGAGCTAAATATCGAGCAGAATCTGCCGTATTCATTTATTACGCCCCTCCCACTTCAACCAAGTACTAGGTCTTTAAATATGAAACCGAAATTTGCCCATAGATGGCCCAAGCTATCAATGTAGTTACCGTCAAACCGCGTCATTGGCGCCATTTCCATTTGTTGACATTTGACAAAGATTTTCAACTCACAACAATACAAGTTTCATACAACTGCATAGTTTGTAATAGCGTTGAACATGTCGAATTTTGTGCCTGGAAGCTACGATTTGCGGACAGTATTGATTTTCTGTTACTACTTGAAGAAAACTGCTGCAGAATCGCATCGAATGCTTGTCGAAGCTTACGGTGAGCATACTCTTGGTAAATCACAGTGCTTTGAGTGGTTTAAAAAATTCAAACGTGGCGATTTTTATGTGAGAAACGAAGAACGTGGAAGACCATCAAAAAAGTTTGAAGACAGCGAATTGCAAGCATTGTTGGATGAGGATGACGCTCAAACACAACAACTCGCGGATCAATTAAATATGACACGAGAAGCCGTCTCCATTCGTTTGAAAGTCATGGGAAAAATCCAGAAGATGGGAAAATGGGCTCCACATGAACTGAATGAAAGACAGCAGGAAAACCGAAAAACCACTTGTGAAATGCTGCTCGCCAGGTACAAAAGAAAATCATTTCTCCATCGAATTGTGACTGGCGATGAAAAGTGGATATATTTTGAGAATCCTAAGCGTAAAAGATCATGGGTAACTCCAGGCGAACTATCGTCATCGACTGCAAGGCCAAATCGCTATGGACAGAAGACAATGCTCTGTATTTGGTGGAATCAGAAAGGTGTGATCTATTATGAGCTGCTAAAATCTGGTGAAACTGTTCATACTGAACGCTACCGACAACAAATGATCGATTTGAATCAAGCTTTGCGTGAAAAACGACTAGAATATCAAAAAAGACAACACTAAGTGATTTTGCTTCATGATAATGCACCATCACACACAGCAAAACTGGTCAAGGAAACGATTAAGGCATTTAGTTGGGAAATACTTTCGCATGCGGCTTACTCACCAGATTTGGCTCCGTCTGATTACTACTTATTTGCATCGATGGGACACGCACTTGCTGAGCAGCGCTTCACTTCTTACGGAAATGTACGAAAATGGCTCGATGACTGGTTTGCCTTAAAAAGGCAACAGTTTTTTTGGCGTGGCATTCATAAATTGTCAGACAGGTGGGAAAAATGTATAGCTAGCGATAGGCAATATTTCGAATAAAATATTTTTTATCATTTTCATACAATAGACGTGTATTTTCTATACAAAAATTCCGGTTTCATATTTACATACCTGATATGCTAGGTTTAAGTAAAGCGAGGAGTATAGACTTTGGCCAAGTGTATAATGTACAATGCAAAAGCAAATGAATTTATTAGAATCATTCATTGTTTACATACAGCTGGAAATGACGACTCCTGATAATGCATTTGCTTGTCAATTATATTAGGTTATTCGGAAAGTTCGTTTAAAATTTCGCGCGCTCCACATTTCTATGTAATCAGTAAGAACGAGGGCGCTCTAAACGATTTTATGTTTGTCAACAAACATCCCCGGATCTATGAGCCCGCTAAGGAAACTTCGCAGATCTTCCTAAGTGCAACTATTTCGTCAGAAATCAGTGAAAAATGGAGAACCAAAAAGTCCATTTTCGTCATGTGATGCTATATTGCTTTAAACGTGGCTTCACGGCTTCGCAGACCCTGAATGAGATGTTCTCAGTATATGGAAATGCCTGTGTCACTCACCAGACTGTTCGAAAATGGTATCGAAGATTCGAAGCTGGCGATTTCAACATGGAAGATCAAGCTCGCTCAGGCCGGCCTCAGGAGGTTGATGAAACGCTTCTTATGGATCTCGTGCACGAAAATCCTCGAATGACAGTTAGAGAACTCGCCGACATTCTGCACAAGTCTGTTTCCACCGTGCATGACAATCTGAAGAAGCTAGGATTCTCAAGTCGACTGGATGTGTGGGTGCCACACGAAATGAATAAACGGCAGTTGCTGGAACGTGTGAACGTCTGCGATATGCTGCTTCAACGGCACCAAAAAGAACCGTTCTTAAAGAGGATCATAACAGGCGATGAAAGTTGGATCCTATATAATTATGTTAGCCGCAAGAGGTCGTGGGGAACCAGCAACGCGTCTACGCAAACAGTGGCCAAGCCGGGGCTTCACGCGAGAAAGGTTCTTCTGAGTATCTGGTGGGATTTTAAGGGCGTGGTATATTATGAGCTTCTTCAACCAAACGAAACCATCAACACGGCGAAGTACAGCCTTCAACTGGACGAACTGAAAACTGCCATCGCACGCAAGCGCCCTGAATTGGCCAACAGGCGTGGAATTGTTTTCCATCATGATAACGCCAGACCTCACGTCGCAATGTCTATCCGTAGGAAGCTGTTAGACTTCGAATGGGACGTTCTTCCTCATCCTCCATATTCTCCCGACCTTGCCCCATCTGACTACTATCTATTTCTTTCTTTAAAAAATTTTCTTCGGGACAAGAAATTCGAGTCTTTGAAAGTCCTCAAAACTCATCTTGATAAATTCTTCGCCAATAAGAAACCTTTATTTTGGAGCAAAGGCACCATGCAGCTTCCTGAAAGATGGGCCGTGAACAAAACGGTACATATTTGCTTCAATAAAGTTCCTCTTTATGTAAAATATTGCGCTCTTAATTTATTTCAAAAATTTGAAACGGACTTTCCGAACAACCTAATACATTATGCACGAATCTGTATTTCCCGTTTAATTATTAAGTAAAATTAAATACATTAATAAATTTTTATTAATATTTTACAAATCTATTATATTTAATGATTTATTATTGTTATTATTGTAACAATTTTTTTAAATTTGTTAGAATGTCGAAAATACACTAAAGTATAAGGCTAATATTACATTTGTCGTACGACAATCTTTCAAATACGTTGATTGGTTAACAAACAATATTTCTAGGATTGCTCCACGTACGCTAATCAATGTATCTAAAAAGCTTGTCATACAACACATGTAATATTAGCCTAAGTTGGCACTAAAAAATGCCGATTCAGATTTTGGCATTCAAAATGCCTTTTATTGCACTGAGCTGTTTCCGTTATGTTTTAAAAATGGGCGCTGAAAAGTGCTGATTTACTCCTCTCTCTTCGAAAAGAGAACGTGCGGTATGTGCGTGCGTGTATATGTGTGTGTGTGTGTGTGAGCGCGTGTGTGCGTGTGCGTGCACCCTCCTCTCTCTCTCTTTCTCTCTCTCTCTCTCGATCTCCTGCGACCGTGGGTGTTGTCTTTGTCATCCGTGCAATCTTCGTCCTCATCCTCGTCCCATGCATCTGTAAATTTAGAAATTTTTAATATTTTTTAATATACAGGGTGTCCCATTTTTATCCGGCCGGCTGAATAAAATTCGAGGATATTTTCCAGAAAAAAATGTTAGACAAATGTTGCTCAGTTCTAAGGGGGACATTCGACACCATCAACAATTTTGACCTCAGGTGAAGGGTTCAAGGTCATTCAAGGTCAACTTTTTTTTCTTAAATGGGAACCCCTATTTTTCACATCGGCAATCGATTCCACGTAAAAAAAAGTGAAATTTTTGTCTGAAGCATTTTTTTTATAATGTAAACTAATTTCACTTATTCAGCCTCCAAAATTGAAATTTCCATCGGCCAATGTTCTACCTGTTAGGAGGTATCTCGAAAAAAGTGCACGATCAACTATGCGAAAATTCGAATGAATTCCTTGCAGCATTCCAAGAACTTTTTGTCTTCTGCAATTTTCCCCCAAACCCCACTATTCTCGAGTAAAAACTTCAGAAAGCTTGAAAATTTTGGAGGCTGAATAAGTAAAATTAGTTTGCGTTATAAAAAACTGCTTCAGACAAAAGTTTCATTTTTTTTACGTAGAATCGATTGCCGATGTGAAAAATAGAGGTTCCCATTTAAGAAAAAAAGGTTGACCTTGAATAGCCTTGAACCCTTCACCCGAGGTTAAAATTGTTGATGGCATCGAATGTCCCCCTTAGAACTGAGCAACATTTGTCTGACATTTTTTTCTGGAAAATATCATCCTCGAATTTTATTCAGTCGGCCGGATTAAAATGGGACACCCTGTATATGACGGACGCGATTAACAGATGAGGTCAAATAAAATACAGAGAACGTAAATGAAAATTTGAAGAACATACAACTTTACTACCAGTAATCAGTGAAGAATGATCCCTGCTGTAAATTTTTTGCTACATTTCTCTCTTACATTACTCTATTTCTGTATTATTTCATGAATGTAGGCGTTTTTCAGTGATATTCAATATATACATTAAAGAACATACCGTGAAATGTATTGAATATTACAAAAAACTGTATATATTGGGTGCGTTGAGGAGAACAAAATGATCAGTGAGCGCTTAGTGATTTTCGCTCCTGATTGGCAAATACTTCTGGGCCTATGAAAAATCTAGAAGAATGCTCCAGTAACAGACAAAATAATCACCTAAGCGCTCACTGATCACTTTGTTCTGCTGAACGCAGCCATTAACGAAATAATATTAAAATTGCGTCATATATATGTGAGGGAGAAATTCAGCTAAATATTTCCAGCAGATATATCACTCCTCACTGTTCAGATACCACATAATATTTACAAAACATTTTAAAAACATAGATGTTGGATATATTATAAATATTCTAATATCTGAGATTTTCAACTGTGGAAAAAATTATGATAAATATCTAAAAATATTTATGATATTGTTCAAACATTTTTTATAAATCGGAATTCTTTTTATAAACATACGGAATGTCTATGTTAATTTATATGACTTATCATGAAATCATATAAATTAATATAGACATTCTATCCGGTTCTATTATATCCAGTTATACATTTACTATCAAACATTTTAAGCAGAGATATCATTGTTACTTTATGATATAATTGTTACATGATATAATTGTTACTTTGTGTGTGCTGTGTCTTCTCTACACAGATCAAGTTTGCTGAGTCGTGACGACGTGCTTGGACGTATTTAGTGGAAAAAGCAACTCAATGAGCGCTATTCATCCTGATTGACATATTTCCGTACATTTGTCAAAAATGTAAAGAAATATTCCAAACGGACAATAGGCACAAAGTGCACACTGAATTTGTAACGGCCGAACTCCGCGGTTCGGTCGCTGCTACGCGTTTCGCGCGGATAAGGCTCGTCGGAGTCCGGGTTCGGTGAGGAGGAAAGCAGCGAGACGTTCGAGAGTAGTACGTTAGCTTTATTCTATATTTAATTTGATACAAGAGGTCGGCCCCGAAGGCGATGTCGCGGGTTGCGTTTGCAAGGCGCGTCGGTACGGTACGGTGCGGTGCGGTGAGCGGTGCGAGCGCTCGTACGAACGGATAGGCCGTGCGGAAGGCGGGGCCTATTGCGCGACGCGTGTCGATCGTAACGACGGTAACGGCGCGGTGTTCGGTCTCGCTTCGCGACGCTGGGCGTCTCGGACAATTATCGCCCAATACTCGCTTCGGAATTGCTCGCGTAAAAATGGTCGCCGGACCGGAGATTTCGATTCTCGGTCGAACGCACGCACGCGAGTCGCGGGAGGCGCGAGATGATTTCGTCCGTCGGGGCCGAGGACTCTCGACAGAGAAGGCGTACGCACCTTCCCTTTTCCCTACGTTCGTGGAGGAAAGCGACCAAATGCTGCGGACACTCAGCGGAGACGGCGAACACACCGTCCCGGGTTCCTGGTCGCTAGACGGATCGCCTAAAGGCTGAGTACGCTCAGCGGAGTTCGCCGACGGACGAACCCCTGACTCGAGGCGGCGGGTAAAGGCGAGATACTGTCGAGTACGCTCGACTGAGCACGCGTACACACGAGCCCAGGAAGACGGGAGACGGCCAAGTATCGAGAACGCTCGATCGAGACTGCGGACGCACAATCCCGTGTTCTTAGTCGCCGGTCGGGTAGTCGGAAAGCGGAAGGCAGAGCGAAACGGTCCGGATATTCTCTCTTTCGGCATGAAGCGTCTAGATCGAATCGGCGGTACGGATCGGTCTGGTGTCTAGGAGCTCGATCGCCGCCGTTTTATAGTTGTTCGCGCTACGATTGATACGGCGGCGATCGAGCGGCGCGCCTATCGGCGCGAGGCACGATGGCGGTGCGTGATCGCGGCCGCGCGCGCTAGCGGCAGCGCGTGATCGCCGCGGCGCGCGATAGCGGCGGCGCGTGATAACGGCGGCGCGATCGTCTTCGTTAATTTATGGTGGCGCAAAGCGCCGTTCTTCGGCCCGACAGGTGGTCGGTCGGGCCGGTAGTAACGAGGTGCATCTGCGCCTCGTTACATCACCCCCCTAGCAGAGGGGTCGTCCGGTAGGCGGCGGCTGGACCGGAGCTGGCCGTCCGCGTGAAAACGCAACATCCAGCGTCCCTCGGGTGTTCTGAGGCGGTATCGACGGCTAATATGGACGGCCGCGTGCGGGACGAGTTTGCGGACTCCGGGCTCCACCTCGACGAGGACCGGCGGCGGTGGCCTCGGGCCGACCGGTCGGAGTATTCTCGGCGGTCGGACGGGGGTCGGACCCGAGGGTGGTCGCGTCGTCGGGAGGAGAGGCGTCCCTGCTGCTCGTTGCGGCGGCGGCGTCCGTTGCGGCGGTGGTGGCGGCCGTTGTGGCGGTGGCGGCGGCCGTTGCGGCGGTGGTCGTTGCTGCGGCGGCGGTCGTTGCGGCGGTGGCCGTTGCTGCGGCGGCGGTCGTTGCGGCGGCGGCGGTCGTTGCGGCGGCGGAGTCGTCGGCGGCCGTGTGGGGCGGGTGGTAGCCCTTGTCGTCGCTGCTGCTGCCAGCGTCTTTGGCTGGCGTCCTCGGCGCCCGGGTGGTGGGGGCAGCGGAGCCGTAAGGATAATCGCTTTACGGCGCTGCGTCGTGTCGGACCGCTGTATCCGGGTCCCCCTTGCCGGAACTTGGGGGTTCGGTGGCCTCGGCGACGGCGGCGGTGTGCTCGCTGGTGGTAGCGGCGGTGACGTCGGCAGTGACGTCGGCGGTGACGTTGGCGGTGACGTCGGCGGTGGCGTCGCTGGTGGTGGCGACGTCGGCGGTGGCGTCGCTGGTGGTGGCGACGTCGACGGCGGCGGGGCGGCCGGGGCCCTCTCCTCGTCGTCGGAGAGGGCGAGATCCGTCCACAGGACGGTGAGATCCTCGATCTCGATTCCTCGGGGCTCGCTCATTGCTAGCTTATGCTTGCTTTTTCGCTTGCCAAAAACTTCTCGGCTTATCGCGCGGCGACAGCTCGAGAAGATGTGAGCTTTGCTGCTCGAGGCCGTCGCTTTATACCCCGGGCCGTTGTTTCGGTTTCCCCTTCCGGGTTGTCGACCTCCGCGTCCTGTGGCTTTTCGTTATTGTTGCCTGACTTCAAATCTTGTATATGTATATTTCGCAGCCACTTGCCGTTTCTAGCGCGGAGATCGACGATTACCGGCGAGATTATCTTCCGGATTTCGTACGGCCCGGAGTATTTTGGCGCGAGCTTGGCGTTAAAGCCTCGCGCTTTATCCGATAGGGGATGCTCGCGTCGCCATACTGTCTCCCCTATCGTAGGCCGCCAGGAGCGCCGTCGCAAATTATAATAGCGCTCCTGGCGTTGAAAAGCTCGCGCCAAATTTACACGGACGACCTCGAGCTGTCGGCGGCGACTTTCCGGTGGAGCGGCGGTACGGGTCTCCGGCCAGGAACTCAACTCCCGCCCGCTGAGCAGGAAGGCCGGGCTGTATCCCGTTGAGTCCTGGACGGCCGAGTTGTATGCGAACTGCAGCGCGGAGAGGTGGGTGTCCCACTTGCGGTGGTTTTTCCCCACAAACTGAGCGATCATGGTCTTTATTACACGGTTTGTCCGCTCCACCGGATTACAATGCGGTGCGTAGATGGGGGTGGTGCGGTGACGGATGCCGTGAGCCCCGCAGAATCTTGCGAATTGCTCGGACCGAAATTGCTTCCCGTTATCGGACACTATTGTTTGGGGGCAGCCGTGTCGGTGCATGATGCCCTCGGTGATCGCCTGCTCCACTGCCCCCGTTGTCGCTTTTCGGAGCGGTCGCATCTCTAGCCACTTGGAGAAGCGATCCTGCATAGCGATGACCCACGCGTGGCCGCCGGTCGACCGCGGCAGAGGGCCCATCAGGTCTATGGTGGCCTGCTCCCACGGGCCCTTGACCGCGGTGGCGTGCAGAAGGCCCGCGGGTTTGACCTGTGTCGCCTTATAGGCGAGGCAGGTCTCACAGGCCCGGACATGTCGGGCTACATCCCGGAACATTCCGGGCCAATAATACCGGCGGGCCGCGCGGGCGATCGTCTTCGCTATCCCCAAGTGGCCGGCGGTGGGTTCGTCGTGGAGCTGGCGAAGGATTTCGGCGCGTTGCTCTCGAGGCACGCATACCTTCCACTGCTCCTCCGCCGGTGTTTCGCGGAAATCCAGCTCGTGCAGGATGTGGCGGAGGAGCTGGCCTTGCTGGATGGCGTAGTCCGGCCAGGCGGCGGGATCTGCGGCTACCCGTGCCCTCATACGGCGGTACCAAGGGCAGCCGTTTTCCGAGACGATGGCGCTTACCTCGGGTCGTCGAGACAACGCGTCGGCGACCGTGTTGAGAGCGCCTCGCCGGTATTGCACCTCGAACTCGTACTGTTGTAGTTCGAGGGCCCAGCGGGCCAGTCGCCCGATGGGTGTCTCCAGGCTGCGCAGCCACCGGAGGGCCTGGTGATCTGTGATCACCGTGAAACGATAGCCCTCCAGGTAGTCGCGCATTCGCCTTATTCCCCAGACTACGGCGAGGCACTCCAACTCGGTCGCGCTGTAATTTTTCTCGGCGCGATTTAACGTTCGGCTCGCGTACGCGATCACGCGTTCGGCCCCCTCCAGCCGCTGCGTGAGGACGGCTCCCAGCCCCTCCGCGCTTGCGTCCGTCTGCAGCTGGAAGGGCTCCCGAAAATCGGGGCACGCGAGTACCGGTGCCGTGGTCAGCCGCTTCTTCAGTGCGGTCATCGCGGCGTCCTCGTCCGCGCCCCACCTCCACTTCACATCCTTCCGGGTGAGTCGCGTGAGAGGGGCGGCTAGCGCGGAGAACCCGGGGATGAACCGCCTGTACCACGACGCGAGCCCGAGGAACTGCCGCACCTTTCGTACGGTCGTGGGCGCCGGCCATTCCGATATCGCGCTCACTTTTTCTGGGTCGGTGCGGATACCCTCTCGGTCCACGATATGCCCCAGGTACCGCAGGCGGCCCACACAGAAACGGCACTTCTCCGTATTGAGGCGCAGTCGCGCTTCCCGGAGTCGCCGGAAGACCTCCCCGAGCCGCGCGATATGTTCCTCGAAGGTCCGGCTCACGATAATGATATCGTCTAGATAGACGAGTACGTGGGGCTCGAGCTCAGGGCCGAGTATGCCGTCCAGCAGCCGTTGGAACGTGGCGGGTGCGGAGTGCAGACCGAAGGGCATTACTCGAAACTGCATTAATCCTCGCCCCGGCACGGCAAACGCAGTCAAGGGGCGGCTTGCGGCCGACAGGGGAACCTGCCAATACCCGCTCCGCAGGTCCAGCGTGGACAGATATTTTGCCCCGCGGAGTTTATCGAGGGTAGCGGCGACCTGCGGCAACGGGTAGGCATCAGGTTCCGAGACGCTATTCAGTTTTCGGAAATCCACGCAAAATCTTCGCGTCCCATCCTTTTTCCGCACCACCACCACCGGTGAGCTCCACGCGCTGTGAGAGGGCTCGATTATGCGCTCCTGCAGCATCTTCTCGACCTCCTCGTCGATTACTCGCTGCATCGCGGGGTTCCGGGGCCGATACCGCTGCTTAATGGGGCGTGGGTCTGTCAGTCGAATGTCGTGGTACGCCCGGTCCGTCGGTCCCTGTACTTGTCGAAGAGGCGGAATTCCCGTTTCAGGAACGTTCCAGTCGCATGGTCTCGTCCGGGGTTCGTGGCGTTAGTCCGTCCTCGATCGTACAGATCGACGGTTCGGTCCGTGTCGCGTGCGTCGGTGGCGGTGGCAGGGTCACCTGTAGCTTGGCCCACAAGTCCACCCAATCAGCATGGGGCTGCCGAGCTTTGGCAGGACTCGCAGGCCGTGTCTTACGTTTCTGTCCTCCGTTTGTACGTCTGTCGTCATGGTTCCGGTCGTCTGTACGAGTGTTCCGTCAGCTAGTCTTATCGCTTCGGCTCGCCTCGACTTCCGGATCGGGGCCCCTACTTGCTGGGCAATGTCGGGGCGTATAAACGACGCCTCCGACCCGGAGTCGAGGAGCGCGTTGACGTCACGTCCGTTCAGTCGTACGGTTATATGGGGCCGCGGTGTGAATCGGACGCGTTGGTTCCTCAGGGCCGAGACTCTGGGCGGCAGGTCTCGGCCCGTCGGTCGTTTCCCGGCCGCGGGTGGCACTCCCGGGTCAACACGCCGTCCTTTCCGCATTGCGAGCAGAATTTCTTCGGGGGGCGCTTACAGTCTACCCGAGTGTGCCCCCTTTGTTTGCACCGCCAGCAGCACTCGTCCTTGCTGTATGTGCTGGCGGTGGTCGGCGCGACGCGCGGTGGTCGAGGAGGTCGGTCCACTGCAGGATCTCGCCGGCGGTCGCGTATCTGCCGCTCGATGTCTTCGTGCTCTGCGGCCCGCGCACGGAGGTCCCCGATGCTCGTAACGTCGTCGATGCGAATGCCCCTCTTGTATTCTGGGTGCATATTTTCATATAGCAACTCGAGCTGCTCCTCGGGACTCCATCCCCCCGCGCGCCGCATGAGCGTTAACACGTCATTGGAGAACGCCCGGAAGGATTCTCCATCTTGTTGTACGCGGCCCCGTGCTTCGCGGCGGAGTTGCGCTAGCATCTTGCGCGGGAGGTATTCCGCATGGAAGTCCCTTCGGAAATCCTCCCACGTTGCCCATGTGTGCCGGCCGAGACGGTACCACGCGAGGGCCTCGCTCCGCAGCATCTCCGGCAACCCCCGAAGGACGTGTTCCCCCGTATAGCCATATACGTCGCTGAGTTCTTCGACCCGTTCTAAAAATTCGTGAGGACTCCGTCCGTCGAAGAAACAACCCCATTTTCTAATTTGATTCATCGCCTTGGCTATCGGGGGCCCGGACCCCTCGGGGATTATGGACAGTTCGGGTGTCTCGTCGCGAACTTCCACTGTCCCTTCCTCGGCCTTTGCTGCGGGGGTCGCCGTCCCGTTATCCTCTTTGAACACTTCCGGATGCCGTCGCACGAACTGACCGAGCCGCCTTCGCAATTCTTCGAATGTCCCGTCCGTGTGCAAGTCGTGACGGGACAACTGCTCGGTCAGCTCCTGTTTTGACAATTTATGCACCCATGCCATCGCGCTCGGGCCTGTAATCCCTCTTGCCACTTTTCTCCTCCTAAGGTCCTTTGTTCGGGCGCCAAATGTAACGGCCGAACTCCGCGGTTCGGTCGCTGCTACGCGTTTCGCGCGGATAAGGCTCGTCGGAGTCCGGGTTCGGTGAGGAGGAAAGCAGCGAGACGTTTGAGAAGAAATAAGTACGTTAGCTTTATTCTATACTTAATTTGGTACAAGAGTTCGGCCCCGAAGGCGATGTCGCGGGTTGCGTTTATAAGCACGTCGGTACGGTACAGTGCGGTGCGGTGAGCGGTGCGAGCGCTCGTACGAACGGATAGGTCGTGCGGAAGGCGAGGCCTATTGCGCGACGCGTGTAGACCGTAACGACGGTAACGCCGCGGTGATCGGTCTCGCTTCGCGACGCTGGGCGTCTCGGACAATTATCGCCCAATACTCGCTTCGGAATTGCTCGCGTAAAAATGGTCGCCGGACCGGAGATTTCGATTCTCGGTCGAACGCACGCACGCGAGTCGCGGGAGACGCGAGATGATTTCGTCCGTCGGGGCCGAGGACTCTCGACAGAGAAGGCGTACGCACCTTCCCTTTTCCCTACGTTCGTGGAGGAAAGCGACCAAGTGCTGCGGACACTCAGCGGAGACGGCGGACACACCGTCCCGGGTTCTTGGTCGCTAGACGGATCGCCTAAAGGCTGAGTACGCTCAGCGGAGTTCGCCGACGGGCGAACCCCTGGCTCAAGGCGGCGGGTAACGGTGATAGACTGTCGAGTACGCTCGACTGAGCACGCGTACACACGAGCCCAGGAAGACGGGAGACGGCCAAGTATCGAGAACACTCGATCGAGACTGCGGACGCACAA